ATCCTAGAAGCGTGTTTTACAATGTCGCATTTTTGTTAAAAACGTCTAATTGAGTCGGAATTTAAAAGGGCATCACTTCGCCCTAAAAAGGGTCGGGAAGTGATTAGAAAGGGGTGAGTACTCACTAGAAGTTTTCTATCGGAAACTGGCAAGAAAACAGTTTTCGGTCGCCGGTCAACCATTAGACGGTGGCTTCTAATGTTCGTTTTCGGAGAAAGAATGATGGTTTACGAAGCCGAGGAAGTGTGGTCGCTAGTCAGGGAGATTGAGAGCGTTCACCCGGTGGCTGGAAGTGGTGATTAACGGTGGCGGAGGGCAGTCGCCGACGATATAGGTAGTGGCGGGTGGCTTGTATTGGCTGGAAAAAGGAGAGGAGAGGGGAGTTTAGAGAGGTGCTTATAATCAAAAGTGTTTCGGATACCATTCCATTTATAGCTAAGGTTAGGTGCGACGGGCGGCCAAGATCGTGTCGTGTGTAGCGATCTTGGGCCACGAGCCCCGAGTCCGGAATCCGACTTCTCGTGAAATTTCTAAAGGCACTGGATTTGAGTACTCGATCTCTTGACTCGTAAATTTTAAATATATACACTTAACGAGTCACGCAACTAGGAAAACAAAACATCTGAAAGTACGATTATGATGGTTTCCCGGTTGTGGTTTTTCGGCTAAAATCGTGAAAGTGTCCAAATTTCGTGTAACGGAAAAGTTAGCTATTAAATCAAATAATAGACTATGTCCTCATTCAAAAAATGTTATAAAGTTTGCTAAACGTGTTATGTAGCTATGTAGATGAATCGTTTGAAGATTCGTTGTCGGGAAAGTTTTCATTGTATTGTTCGATCATTAAGGATTTTCGGACAAAATGAGTTAAAGCCATGCTTAGATACGAACTTGCATTATGATCATGGGAAAAATATCAGAATTTGAAAATTTATCTTCTAAGGTACCTAATGAGGTGTTTGAAATTTTGTATTAGGAAAACTGACTTACACGTTTTCTTTAGGTTAGCATAACTTTTGTATACGAACTCTATTTTGTTTACATTTTTTATTTCCATGTGAGCATAATAACACGTACTTCCCGAATACGGTATCATTTGTACAAAACAATACTCATTACATATGCTTATTTCAATATTTCATTTTTATTCCCTTTGTTTATCACGACAAGTTTTCCTTTTTCGCATACGAACTCCGTTTTTGACATTCTTTATATCCACAAAATTGTAATTACGTGTATTTTATGATTATAGTCCCATTTATACAAAAATAAGGTTTTGTACATATATTAATTTCAAGAATGCATCTTAATGCACATTTTGTGTACAACATCAAAAAATTTCTTGTCTATATTTTTCACCATTGGATGATGCAATTCATTTTTCTTATGTATTTGAATATAAAATATCGTATTTTCATCAAAAGAAAATCAGTTATTATACATTAGACCTATTACATTGATGTTGTCACATTTGCGAATCACGATCGTTGACCTAATTTTGATGGTTGTCACATATGTTATTAACAATATCACTCTAAAATAAATGTTAAGGATATACATCCAACATAGTTGTCCTATAACATCCATGTGAACCTTATTGAAGGTTTGTATCGATCGAATACACTTCAAGTATAATTAACGAAGAACAAATAAAATAAACAAAGATCAAACAGAAAAATAAACAACACGGGCAATCACAAAGATGTTTTTCACCAAAAAGGGGTGTTCTCACCAAGAGAACGAAGGTCACAAAGACTTACATTAGGTTTTCAACATAATGTTGAATATATACCAAACTATTCTAGTGAATCCCTTCAATCAAGGGATTATATCGAATCTATACAACTAACTAGTCATTATCACCAATATATTAGATCTGCTATCTATTCTATACATATATGTATAACAACCTAATATACAAATATTACATAAGATCATTATCTTCACATTGATGCTGATAAGGTCTTGAGTTGGCGCGGGCACTGATGGTGTTGCTGGCGTTGGTACTAGTGGTCAGTGTTTAAAGTTTTTGACTCATCAAATCATAAGGTGTGACCTTACAATCTCCCATATATGATATTGTCAAAACTAATCTTCAACGAAATCATCAAGGTCATCATTTGTTAATATTCCTGCTTCAACAAATTCTCCCTTGAGATAAAATATAACAACCCAAATTTGGGTAATCAGCTGTAGCAATAACAGTAGAGACAATCAATGTAACAACTAGTATAACATGAGTCTCATTGGATATCCCCCCTAGATTTCTCTCCTCTTCAGGTCGTATATAACACATCATTATATTAGATAAATATCTCTCCCCTTTTTGACATCAGTAACATATATGGTACTAAAGAAACAATCAACGTATCAGAGTTGGAGCTAGTAATCTAGTGAGTTTGTGATGTCTCCTGATAGTATGAGTTTAAACTAACATTCAATAACATAGTATTGTGAGGTATCATCAACCTATTGTTTTATAAGCTGACTCATTAACCACATTCATTAGAAGAATAAAGGGAAATAATGGAATGATGCATGTAATACATTCCGGTATGAAATGTACCCATGGTAAAGAGTGTCAAGTTTTATTAGTGTATGGATAATACAGTGAATCATTAACCTCTTTAGTAGAAGAATTTTTGGGAAAGAATGAGTATGTGTATGCAATACATCACGGACAATGATATACCCATCGACACCAATTTTTCGAATTCTCATCAGCGTCTCTCTTCATACATTGAATCATAAAATTCTAATGAAGAATATATTGTGAGAATAGATTGGTGCATGTGATAAGGTGTGGTGTTTTAGCTTAACCATCGGCACATATTTTTCAAGCTCGCATCACTGTATGGTACATTACGCCGAATCATAAAGCTTGAAAGAAGAATGTAAGGTCATGAAGGGGTTGGTGTATGTGATAGTCTACAATACATAGACTAACCATGGGTACAAAGTTTGTAACTTTTATCAGTGTGTGGTATATCAAAGTGAATCCTAAAGTTTTATTGAGAAGAAATTTGAGAAAATGGAGTGTTTCAGTCACGCGGAGGTGGAATCAGCATGAATCATAAACAGTGTCAGCTCATCAACAAGAAGTGGTTTATCTTCTGTATAATAAAGCTGAGTTGCATTCTAGAACATTGAAGTTCACCGTCAATTCATTTAAAATGGTACAAGGAAAAATAATAAATAATATAAGAACAAAGACAGAAGAGTTAGTCAAACAAGGACATATTCTAAAAGCGATATATGTGCAGCTTTTTCGGAAGACCTGGACATATCCCTTTATCAGGAAGCAAGAAAAAACACATTAATATAGAATACAACTCACTACAAACCAAGAATGACAACGACATTAATTATTGTGATGCTACAACGAGATTCCAAGTTTCATGTTCACTAGGAGCAGTAGAAGAACCGGAACTAGTCTTTGTAACCTACGTTAACTGGCTCAAATCTGTGTAACCATCAAGTTGACAATATTAACACGGGGACACTCGAGGTTTTATTAGATTATGAGTCAGTAGATAAAATTAAGACTCAATGTATTGATGGTTGCTTCTTGTACCCATAAAAATAAGTGGGGGAGAGAAAGAGTATTATCAAAAGGAGGAAGATTTGATGCCAATATTCTTCTCAACAACTAGAGCATTTAGAACATTCGAAATGGCTACAATTCTTTCCAAATCTGAAAGGAGGATGTGCAAATTATTCGTGGATAGGACTGAAATTAGAGAATAGAGAAAAATAGGGGGAGATTATAAACATTATATGTAAAGCTTAAGCACATAATTTAAAGTTCTTAAAAAACATAATAAAATTAGCACTTGTTTTTTTAATAAAGCAAGTAGAAGAAAAGTTATTTCAAACGAGTTGAAAAAGGATTAAGTCATTGAAAGCATGCTAAGATCCGCAATCAATTTTTTTAGGGTTTTCCCGTGCAATGACTTAGTGAAAATGTCAGCTAGTTGAACAGTGGATGGAATATAGAACAACTCCACTTTTCCCTTTTGAGCAATGTCCCCGATGAAGTGATGATGAATGTCAATGTGCATGGTTTTGGAATGCTACACTGGATTATGTATCATCTAAATGGTATTGCTATTGTCACAACAAATAGGAGTCTTTGAGAAGTTTAGACCATAATCTAAGAATTGATTCTGATTCCATAGAATCTAAGCACAACACCTTCCAATGGGTACATGTGTAGCTTCAATAGTAGAGCAAGCAACTGATGTCTGCTTCTTGCTGGAACAACTCACCAATCTATCTCCTAGAATTTGAGCCCCTCCTGAAGTACTCTTGTGATCAATGCCATGTCCACCGTGATCTGAGTCAATGTATCCCACCAGCTTGAACTGACTCATGAGGATACCATAATCTAAGATTGGGTGTATGCTTTAAGTAACGAAAGATATTTTTCCCAACAAGAAGATGAGGTTCCTTAGGACTGGCTTGATAATGATCACACAATATGGTAGCAAACATAATGTTAGGATGAATGGTATTAAGATAGAGAAGTGAACCTATCATTCCTCGATACATGGTTGCATTCACATTAACGTTAGTTGGATCAACGACAATAGATGCTAATGAGGACATTGGAGTCTTTTTTGGTTTGTTATCAGAAAAAACAAAATTCTTTAGCATGTATGTAGTGTATTTAACTTGACAAATCAAAATTTCATCAATTATTTGTTTAACCTATAAACCTAAAAAGAAAGTTAGTTCATCTGTCATGCTCATCTCAAATTTCTTAGCCATGACCTCAGCGAACTTAGAACTTAGTTTCTCATCAGTGGACCCGAAAATAATATCATTAACATACACTTGAGCAAGAATGATGTGGATAGATAACTTGCCAATGTGCCATACCATGCTCTGGGTGCCAGATTCAAACCGTATATAGCTTTATCAAGACGATATACATGATTGAGAAATTCTTCATTTTCAAACACTGGAGGTCTCTTTAGGAAAACTTTTTCTTGAAGATTCTAATGTAAGAAGGCAGTCTTAACATCCATTTGATACACATCGAAGTTATTGAATGAATCAAAATAAAAAAAACAAATTGCTTCAAGTCTAGCAACAGGGGCAAACATATCGTCATAGTTAAATCCTTCCAGCTGACAAAATCCTTGGGCCACAAGTCTTGCTTTATTTCTAATAAGGATCCCATCTTCATCCATATTGTTTCTGAACACCCAGCAAGTGCCAATGATAGTTCTTCCTTGAGGCTTTGGAACAAGAGTCCACACACAATGATGTTTAAATTCATTCAGCTCATCCTACATATCATTGATCCAGTCAGCTTCAATCAGGGCATCATCAACATTCTTTGGTTCAATCATTGCGACAAAATTCACAAATATACATAAGTTAGCCCCTTGTCATTATCTCCATATGTAATAGTAGGACCATCCTTCTTTATGAAGTCTTCCAGAAAAGACTTGAATACGGTCATATATCTTGAGCAACTGCTATCTAAATACCAAATATGTTCTTTACCCTGAAACTAAAATATACAATTAATATACACTGACCCGTTTTGCAATGGGTGACTTAAGAAAATATGTGATAACAAGCATCATGGAGACAATTTAAAGAGTTTCCATTTTTGATCCACTTATCATTTTGAATCATGATGTTGTCAGCGTGAACAAAACTCTTCTCAAAAGTGCACTCACTGACTTTGTGAGAGGCATCCCCACGTCGATAACAAACTCTGGTTCCATGATTCTTTCTTTTAACATTAGATTTTGGTTCCTTTTTAACTAATGAATCCGTAGAACTTTGATCATTTGATTTAAATATTCTTGCTTTAATTCTGGGCCAAGGAATGTCGTCGGCGGTATGCTCAGATGAAATTTTATCACGAGGCTTAGAATATGTTAAATAATTATCTGGAATAGAAGACTTTGATAGGTCTCCAAATTCAGAGTTGCTAACATAGCACTGAGGAAAAATAATGAGAATTTCATTTACCGAATGAACTTCACCATTTGATATAGGAAAATTCAACAAAATCTTGGTGGAGAGGAACACATACTCATTATTAGGAGGTTGGAGGGAAGGATCAAGAGCAGATAAACGAGATACACATTTGGTGTTACCATTAGAGTTAGTAGTGAAATGTGAATTAATTATAGTTTAATTTATAAAACAGGTACTTACAAATATACTTTCAAATCTTTCTCTAGACAGTCAACGTTATAAAAGGTTTTTATTAGTCTCAACCTTTTTGATTAAGGAGACATCACCTTCTATATCGCCTACAAGAATTTGCTCACACTGATCAGGAATCGGATCATTAATAATTCGCATGACATTATAGTGAGAAGAAGCTCAGTTTTATAAAATAAGTTAAATGCATCTAGCATGATCAACATCTTTTTTTTTCAAAGAAAATAAAGTTGTTGGCCAGTGAGATACAATTGTTTTATCTTTTTAAAAGAGAAAGATATTTTTCAAAAAATGCGAGTTTTTTCTTTGAGTTTTTAAAATTAATTCTGAGAGAAGATCTTTCATCGTTCGAAACAGATAAATCGAAACTCAGGTGATCAATCGTGTTAGCTTTTTCGATGTTTTTGATGGAAGAATAGTTAACAATATTTTTTACCCAATATGTTGAGCTTGAGTCCCAGTCAGACTTGAGGTCTATAGCAGTTTGAGAAGGATTAGTATCAAGATTGCCAACACTGTCATTCGGTGCATCATCATGAGATTCAACGATATGTGTCATGAGACACTTACCTTTGGAAGCTTTGTCATTTTAGATATTTTCTTTATCTAAAGAAAAGGATAATGTGATCTACATCTCTTGTGCAGTTGAGCGGTTGTGACCCAAACGATAGACAAAATATGGGAGTGAGTTTCCAATGGCAATTTTTGTCTTTAAAACAAGCTTTAACACCCTATTTTCTTCCTTGTTGTATCCTGGCACAAATTTCTTCTTTAGCTCACTATGGGATGAACCATCATTGGATGATTGATGCATAACGACAATGGAAACCTTTTTGATGATGTCGATCATGTCATAGTCCATGATCTTAAGAACGTCCATGACCTTTGATTTCAAGGCAGTAAAGTTGAGTTCATCAAAAGGAGGGATCTTGTTGCATGCAGATGATTTGGGATTGTAAGAGTTCAACATAATTATTTGAGTGTATCAAAAACCCTTCTCTAATACCAATTGAAGGTTTATATCGATCAGATACACTTCAAGTATAATTAACGAAGTATAAACTAACTAAACAAAGATCAACCATAAAAATATTAAACACGAGTAATCACAATGACGTCTTTCACCAAGAAACGGGTGTTCTCAACAAGAGAACGAAGGTCACAAAGACTTACATTAGGGTTTCACCCTAATGTTGAATAGATAGAAAACTATTCTTGTGCATCCCTTCAATCAACGGATTGTATCTAATCTATAATAATAAGTAATCCTTATCACCAAGATATCGGATCTGCTATCTATTCTATACATATCCTTATAACTGCCTAATATACAAAGATTACATACGATCATTATCTTCACGCTGATGCTGATAAGGTCTTAAGTTGGCGCCGACACTGATGGTGACTCTGGCGCTGGCGCTGGTGGTCAGCGTATAAACTTTTTGACTCATCAGATCATAAGGTGTGACGTTACACCTATTAATAACATGCATCAACCCTTGTACACGAGCAACATCCCTTATTAATTACATGTATTTACCCTATTTCTCACATACAAGAGCTTGATATTAATTAATAGGAGATTTTGATGCATGTAATTGATAGGCGATGTTGCTCATGTATAAGGGATTGATGTGTGTGACAGGGCTTCCCAAGACACATATACAAGTGATTGATAAGATAAGACACAAATGTTTTTGTTTGTGAGCTAAAGAATAATATATCCTAAGATGTTGTATCTCATGCATCAATCCCTTGTACATGAGATATGATTTGATGCATGTAGTTGATAGAAGTTAATGCTCATGTACAAGGGGTTGATGCATGTATGTGATAGGTTCAAGTGGATGTTAGACGACAACACTTTTAGATGTTACCCTATTGAAATGGGAGACAAGTGTATCATATGATTTCCTTAAGGATACAAGTGGCTTTCGGTGTAATGGTTCATTGCTTCAAGTAGAAGATTGGTTAAAGAATGGATATTACTTAGGTTTATATAGAAGATGGATTAGGGATAATATTTCCTAGAGCTAATCCTTTCGTGTGTAATTATGAACAATATATTTCATTAAATAATAAATAATCTCTTCTTTAAAGTAACTTGTTATGAGATCATCCACTACATGCTAATATAGATAATGTATCTCTTTTTTACCCAAAATATTAGTAGTATTTTTTTATGGGTAAATGTCACAATAGATATTATTTTATTTTTATTTATTTTTTTTGCGCTTCTTTATAGTTTGCACAAAATTTCATATATATATATATATATATATATATATATATATATATATATATATATATATATATATATATATATATATATATATATATATATATTATCAATTTTGACACCCATAATGTGATGTTACAAAATAAACCCCTTGTCTAATAAACTTATTTTTTTATGAAATTGAATATATGTAGAGGTTATTATCTAAATAATTAATCCATTTAATTACTTTGATAACGTTGTTATCGAATGAACGACATCATATTAGAAACCGTTTATGTATTTGAAACTTAGTTCAAGATTTCTTGATCTACTTAATCATCCCTTGGACTTATAGTATTCCTTTAGATGACAACTAGAAATTACATTTTTTTGTTTCAAGGAGATGAAAACATGTTCGTTCATTGTCGATAAAAGATTAGTCTTAAAGATTTTTTGGTTCATCATGTTATTGTTGTAGGTTTACATGACTAACTCCAATTTATATCATATTATATATATGATTAAATTCATACGTAAGAAACGTATACAAAAATACACACAAAACATATTATATATGATTAAATTCTATTTGATAGAAACTATTTTTTAATTTTTTTAAACACATGAATTATTTGTGTAAACGAGTTGTATAGGGACGTTTTCTTTAAATTACAAATATAGTTGTAATTTAATTTCTATAAAAGAACCAAAGAATACAAAATTCTTTTGGGCAAAATCTTAAATCCAACAAATTTACTATTTCTACGGCACTTACTTTTTATTATATATAAAGATAATAATGCTATTGAATGGTACATACTACATAGCCCGTATGTTTTTATTTATATTGGAGTGTAGTCCGTATGTTTTTATTTATTTTGGAGTATCATTTCTGTTTAAAGGCTTTTTATAGAAGAAAATCTTTAGACTCCAAATATATTGTGTTGTTAAAATACAAAAACGTTTTACATTGGCTACGTTACATCATATATCGTAAACCTCAATGGTTTTTAACAAGTGAGCTAGATTAATTATCACATTTTTTTAATGTGCACTTTTGAGAAACAACGACCCATAAATAAACAAGAACATAACCATTTCTTGGATGTCTTTTATCAATCTTCTTTATTTTGTATTTGTCTGTTCATCATTTATGTTCACATCTTCTTTAGTGTGGAGGATGCAACTTTGTCCCAACCGAAACTTAATTGTTCACTACTAGGATGTATGTGTGGGTATATTATGTCCAGTAGCGTCGCCATCAATCTCATCCATGACTTATCAAATTGTTCACTACTAGGATGTGGTGTGTAGGTTGAGCCAATAGTCGAAACATGCATCCTTAAACATTCTTTGTTACGTAGGAATTGATTGTTCCTTTATTTTAAATCATTGTGTAATACAACATTTTAGGGAAAATGACATATACACCTTATAAACTTTCTAGGGTTTACCCTTTTAGTCCCTTAACTATTTTGATGGCTTTATGAGGGAACCAAGTCTTTTTTATCGGGTCGATTAAGTCCTTTTGGCTAAAGTGAAGAGGTCACCCGGTTACCCCTTTGCCAAATTGACATTTGTTGACCAACTCCCCTAAATTGACTTTGATTTTTTCCAATTTGTTTACCAAACTTGCCACATCACCAACTGTGCTCTGTTTGAGTTCTTTAATTTGGAGAGTTCGAGGCTACTTTGATGGCGGTACTTTTGACTAGCCCTCACCCCATCAAACCCTATTCATCGCAAAATCAAATCTCAAGGAATTTAGACCATGCTCTCGTTGTCTCATTTGTCTAGCAGAAAATGTGAAAGGAAAACGGTCAAGACGGATCAACGGCTTCAGAGGGGGTGTTTGTCTTCGAAATCGACCGGTAAGGTGGAGGATGGGACAGAAACCAATTTTCGGAGATCAAGCTTTTTAAATCGACCTTGTAGAGATTGAAAATGATAGCAATAGTCGATCTCTTGAAAATATTCTCTCTCAGTTTGAAGAAAGCATCGTCGATCTCTTTCCTTCTTCGACGACCTTTTTCCATAAACTTCATCTTTAGAAGACATGGGGTTTCAAGGGGACTTGTTCTTACGTTCAAGGGGTTTCAAGCCCTGGACTTGTAAACCCAGTTAAAGAAGACAAAAGGGGTTTCGTTATACACCTACATTCAGTACCAGACCATAAGACGCTCCTAACACCACTAGATTCTTTTAGTCCCTGTCTTTGGAGCTCTAAAATCCAACAGGTGGTGGTGTTCGTTTTACATAGGGATGGTCAGCAAGAAGGTGGGTCTTGTTGGGTCGGGTACACTTATACTAAGCCTGAATATATGAGAACCTGAAGAAAAAATTGGTTTTGTAGGTTTTTTTGAGTTTTGTTTAGATTTATAGCTATTATTGTTAAAAATGAAATTGGATGCAGACGATGAATAGAGGAAAGTAAGAATAGAGGTGCTATGGTCTTGTGCTCGACCAAATGTTTAATTCATTTGTAATCTGGTATGCCTAGCATTAGGACCTCAACGATGACAGATGGAGAACAAGCACTTAGCGAAGAGGCTGCTCTCTACACCCATCCACAAATTTTGAGAGACCAATCCATAAATTAGATTTGATCCGGGTTTAAATTCCTTATGGGTCTTGTGTATGTAGTTGTGAGATGTTCTTCACTGATAATGATTGTATGTAGGTTTTTTTGGTTTGAAGTTTCTCACATGGGTCACCGAGAAGATGAATCGGATGGGGGAGGGCAGTAGTTGTCAGTTGGAGATGACAGAAAGATAGGAAACACCACATTTGGATCGATCAGATGGGTCGGGGCATGTCGGATCGATGAATAAAAAGGGTGGGAGGAGACTATGGAAGGAACTTTCATGTGTGCGTATGTGAGAGATAGAGAGATAGGTGGATTTAATTTATTTTTTTCTAATCAACTTAAAGTCACATATGTCTATTAACCGGCTAAAAAAGGTTAAAGGGACCAGATCAACAGGTCATTAAATACTTTATTTCCATAAAATGTTCGAAAATAATTTTAGGGACTGAATGAGCAAAGTCAAAATACATAGCAGGGCTAATGTGTCATTATCCCAACATTTTAAGGTACAAAGTGTGTCATATATGATGCCATTTTGTAAAAGACACATGGATGAGTATCAACTTAATTTCGTTGAGAACCTATGAGTTTGATAAATCTCGACGTTCGAAAATCTAAACATAAAATTTTTAAGAACTATTTATGAACTCTTCTTTTTAAACATGTTCATAAGTTCAGCAAAATGTTTTCTAAATATGTTATTTATAATTTCAAACATAAATAAAACCAATTATTGTGTTTATATACCTAATCAAGCACCAAGAAGACTTTTATCAATGAAAATAAAACAATTTTGAAGATGTTCGAAAATCATCGTATAAATTTAAACATATTCGATAATAGTGTTTTCATAAATTAAAATGAATGGAAAGCTTTGTAATAAAAACATATGTTAAGAAAGACTAAAATTACTTACATATCTTACGATAATTGAAGACGTTTAGTCAATGTGATACTAGTTCATATAGTAGACATTTTTCCTCTTAGATTAGATATGATTAGAGATCCAATGTTCTTATCCAAACATTAGCGATATCTATTAACTTGTCATACTAATTTTAACCACTAACCAACTCTTCAAAAAATATTCTTTTCTAATAAACATTATTAAACTATGATTATTTTGGTGAATGTGATTCTTGTTGTTATTTATTCCAAAAACATAGATTATTATTATTATTATTATTATTATTATTATTATTATAGTTTCATAATAATATTTGATACATTAATTTGCTTATAAAACACTAGTTTATAACCCGTTGAAACTACGGTTATAAAATTAATTAAACTTTTATAGTAAACTTCAAAATTATTAATTAATTATTTTAAATAAATTATTAATTACAAAATATTTTTATTAGTTATGTGAAATTATAATCGTTGATTCAAATAAATATATAAAATTAATTTTTAAATTATATTAGACATATTTTTATTTGTGAATTAATGAAAACAATAATATAAAATTTAAAATAGAGAATAAATACATTAACAAATAACATCACATTAATTAAGATGTATAATAAATTTAAAATGAAGAACTAATTGATTAGCAAGTGGATAAAACAACTACTGTTTTATTAATATGAGGATTAATGTACCAATTTATTCTAGTATTAATGATTTAAAAGTTATAAATAAATAAAAAGTTTTTTTTTTCTCACTCTTGGAACATTATCATTTACGTGTATCACATTAAAAAGTATCCATTCTAGCCTAATCCATTATCAACCGTACGTGTTTGCAACATGATTTATTCAGTCCATCATTTATGCTAACTCTATTTCAAATGCATAATTGGTGTGGGACAAAGGTAGTTTTGGTTTTTGAAGGGATAGAAGCACACCACGCTCAATTTGTGCTCACCACTCACCGTTATATCTACTACCACCACACCCAAAAATATATCAACCTCGTGTTTTATGGGGTACAAGTTGACACATCCAAATGCTTTCATGTACTATCACCATCATTATTTAATATGACCAAAAAAAAACCATATGTAGTAGTCGTCCATAATATTACATATCATGGTTGCCATAAAATAAATACAAAAAACTTGGTTGTCTTTTCGTATTTTACAATTTGTGTGATGATGTATGTTTCTAATATGTACTCATGTGATTGTTTTCGAGCTATCTGAATTTACAAACACATAATCCTATATTTATATGCCAGGACAGAATGACTTCAATTATTATAACCTTTTTATTAATATAATTTAAGAGGTTGTAACATCTGTAGACATTTTGAATTACTACCCACCGTTTTCGTTTTCCTTTTGTTTTCATTTCATATATTTGTCATGTTAAAGATTAAGAATTGACGTGTAGTAAAATACGAGAATCTCAATGAATAGTTCCCTTGTTATTCAAGAACAAGTTCAAAAATACATTTACATGAATAAACCTTTCACTACCTATATATTAATCTAACCCTAGATATGAACTCTCACACACAAAATTAAAGTACTCTATCAATCTATATCCATAAACAACAACAACAACAAGAAGTTAATATGTACATCAAAATCACACAACAAATGATATAAAGCAAGAACAAAGGTTGAAGATAAGAGAAATATGGTTTTTTCTCCCATCCGAAACGAGAGGGGTGAGCAAACCCAAACCAAAAAACCGATAAACCGGTTAAAACCGACAAAATCGAAACTGAAAAAACCAAAACCGAAGCAAGACCGACGGTTTGGGTTTGATATTTTTAGAAACCGAAAAATCGGGTTCAGTTTCGGTTTTTAACCAGACACTACTAGAAAAATTGAAATAGAGTACAGGTAAATATAATATGGTCATTAATACATCCGTATTAGATATGGTTGGACAAAATTAAAAACCGACTTAAAGTGTTTAATGCAATAAAATATTGAAATATTAGGCCTGACATTACCGACCCACCCGCGATGCAAAAAGTTTATTTCTCATCCGTGTTTATTTATTTTTAGAATAAAATCTTATTACACCCAATATTTAGCCCTAAATTAAAACAGCTCCATACGTACGCCTTGTCACCGCCATCGCCACTACATGGCCACTAACACTGTCACCGACACCGATACTCCCACCACTACCACTGACTGTTGCCGCCATCAGTCAGTTTTGATTTTACATTCAAGGTGTTGCACTGATGCTTAATCCTTGATTGAATAAAGGAATCCAAATTTGAAACTCGGTGGTGAAATTTCTCCTGCCATTGGAGACTTGAGGAATACACATTTGTGTACATGTTTCGCATCAGTAGATGAAAGTAATGAACAAAGGTTTCATAGCAGAACGTCAACAATAGATAAAGGTAATGAACGAAGCGAGGGTTTAGAAAAGAGTCTCAATATTCTCTCTTAAACTTCTTTCTATGTCTGCCTCTGCTCTCCGTAGAAAATTCAGAAGAGCCGCCACATATCTCAAGCACACGGTACCATCTCTCTCTCTCTCTCTCTCTCTCTCTCTTATGGTTATAGATACTGAATCTTTTGGGGGAACTGCGTGTTTCTTGGTTTTCTGCATTTGTGTGCATGTCTACAACGTGCTTGTGGAAATGTTTAACAGGTTGTGGTGAACACATGGCAAACCATTGAAAGAAGAATACATGTTGACTCTACTCTTTGTGATGGTACTCCGAGGACCGCTTTCTTGTTCTTGAAAATTTTTCCAGTGACTGGCAACAAGAATGATCTGAATAGCCCTCCTTGCATGAAGTCTTTGGCATTGGAGCAATGATAAAAAAAAAAGATGATAGCAAGTGATGAGGGTTTTAAAAAGATGGCTGCTAAAATGAAGGAGAAATATGATAAGTATTGGAGCAATTCATCAAACATTAATGTGTTTTTATTTATTGCTCCAATTCTTGATCCACGATACAAGTTAGGTTATGTTTCCTTCATTATTAGCCAAAGTTTTGATGAAGAAAAAGCCAAAAATTTGTGTGATCAAGTAGAGAAAGTATTGCGAGACTTGTATGCTCATTACTTACATGAAGTTGGAGTTACTAATGAAAATCCAACTACTAGTTTCGGACATTTTGAAGAAGAGATTCTTATTGATGTTGAAGATGATCCGACAACTTTCTTGAACAACCAATACAAAAGATTGTTGGAAGAGAACTCAAGTGGTACAGGTAATTTACAAGTTGTGTTTCTTTTAGTTTTGTTAGTTATACTTACATAATTAATTTTTTGTTTACTTTAATATTTGGTGATAATTGTAGCTGCAAAATGCGAGTTGGATTGGTATTTGAGTGAGCAATGTGAGTCTTTTGACAACAAGTTCAACTTACTTAGTTGGTGGAAGAAAATTCAAGCAAGATTTCCGGTCATTGCGGCAATTGCTAGGGATGTTTTGGCAATTCCAGCTTCAACTGTAGCCTCAGAATCTTCATTTAGTACTGGGGGACACATTCTTGATGCATTTCGTAGCTCATTGACCCCCAAAACAGTTGAAGCATTGATATGTTCTCAAAATTGGCTTAGGTCCAAAAATGTTCCTATTGATATTGAGAAAAGTTTTGAAGCTCTTGAAAATTTTGAAGTCGGTATGACTTTGTTTTTATAGTTCTTATGGTTTCATGTTTTATTCAATCTAATATTTAATTTTTTTGTTGTTTCAGAAGTGAAGGACTTACCTCAAGCTATATCCGCTCTTACTGTGGATGATTGAAGTTTTATGATGGTAAAATTTTATATTTTTTTGTGCTTTAAAATGTTGTTTATATGCAGTTTTTTATTACAATTTTATTGCTGTTTTCTATACATTTTTGTGCTGTTTTTGTGTGTTTTTAAGCTGTTTTGTGCAGTTTTTTGTGATGTTTTGTTCAGTTTTTTATGATGTTTTGTGCAGTTTTTTTTTATGTTTTTTTAACTGTTTTGTGCAGTTTTTTATGTGCTGTTTTATGTTTTTTTGAGCTGTTTTGTGCAGTTTTTTGTGATGTTTGTGATGCTTTTTAAGTTGTTTTTATACTGTTTTATATGTGCTGTTTTTTTGCTATTTGTACTAAATAAATATGTTTTTTTGCAGGTTTGGTACTTATTTTGAGATGAGTTGCTGTTTTTTATTTGTCAAAGGGTTGATGGAATGTTTTTTATGTTATCAAACTAGTGTTAAACACTTTTAAAATATCTCTTGTTGAATTATTTTGTTTTGGATGATTTTGTTTTGAATGAATATTTTACAATTGACTTATTGTAGCTTGTATTTTTTGATTAATTTTGTTTTTTATATTAAGCGGGTAACCGTGAACCGAACCGTGGTTATCCGCCTTTAAACGGTGCGGTTCAGTTCGGGTTTTTGCACAATTCGGTTCGGTTTCGGTTAGTGCATATAAATACCCGCCCCGTGATAACGGTTTACAATTTTATTACTATCCGAACCGAACCGCCCCGTGAACACACCTACTTGTGACTCTACTTCTGCAAACTTTAGGTACCCTCTATAGTACTTCAATCTCATTATCTTGATATTTAAATCCATATTTAACATATTGTTGAAATCGATAATGATAGGGATGTAAGTATGTAACCTTTTTATGTGGAAGTGCTAGAGCTTGTGCTCTTGGTGTTGTTGTGTCAAAGTACCAAGAAAATACACAACACAAATGATTGAATACTATTTAACCCGGTTCAAAGAGGTAATATAGTAATTTATATTGATTTTCTTGCTTAATAAGCATAATGCTCATTTATATAACATTGATTTTGCCTAATTTTGAAACAGATTGAAGTAAAGGAACATTAGGGAGATGGAATGTTACACGGGAGTGCTGAACACTTATGGGCATGTCTGTTCTTGAATAAACACTTAGGTGATGAAGTGATTCCTTCATCCTATACTCTAAGGTTTCATATAAATCTGATTAATTATAATTAACAATGTAGCAAATGGAGTTAAAGTTATATATTGTATTTACATATAATATTAAAAAATTGAATGAAAACTATTTCCATTCCTTCATCGAATCATTCCATTATCTTGCTTATTCCATTCTATTGCATCCAACCAAACAAAACCTGAGTCTCTTTTGTTCCTCTTACCTATTTCAGTTTTAGACTTTATTATTGGTCATGATGTTGGCATGCTTTTCACCTCTATTTGATGCAAGTTCTTTTATGATCCTTTACATAGTAATGTTTGTATACTTTTGTAGTGCCATGGTAAGGATTCTACTCATTTCACATTTTTAGCTTTTTTTCATATGCTTAATTTCCTGTCAACTTAAAATTTTTTGTCTAATGATATGACAGGTACAACTAATGCTTGTGCTTGCTCCAACTGCATGCATATTATCCAAAATTGCTCTTTCTGAAGCCTTTGATGTTTTCGCAAGATCAAATAAATTCTATGTATCTAGTTTATTTGAAAATACCCAAAATGAAGTAAGTATTTGCAATCACACACACACACGCACATCTTTAGTCCTCAAAATTATTTTATTGACTTTTTTGTTGACTTTGACCACTAAGGTTGGGGATAGAGTATTCAACTCTTTAAATTGTGCTCACTTCTCATCCACCTGAAGGTCTTCATGTTTTTGATGATTTCAGAGAGGCTTACACATGGTTAAGCCATAACAAAAAAGTAGATGATAAAGTAAGTAACTCATTTTATTCAATCAACATTTATATAAGGTCTTAACCATGCTTAGGACTTAGTACTTAACTCACTCATTCACACACACACACACTTGATGTTACCAAACAACAAGAATGGCTAAGCAATGGCTAACAGGACAGTTATAGTTGATAATAACACATGGAACAACACACATTGCTATTGTTGGTACTGCCATGTCATCACCTGAAAAGGCTGCTTGAGAATTTTTCAACTGTTTGGATGTCTAGTTTTATTTTTTTTAAATAATAGTAAAGAATTGAAAATAAGAAATTAATTATTTGAAGTTTTCATCATTGTCAGGTGTCGTGGGATACTCTAGTGATGATATAAAAAAGTTCCTATGGATGGGTGTGTATAGGAGGAGGCATCTTCCCACATATCAAGGAGCCTGATTATCTTGTATGTTTAAGTACTTAAAGTACTGTACTTTCATTTTTTTAATTAGTTATAGCATTGTACTTTCAAATAGTTTCTAATTAGGGCATTGTACTTTAAAAAAAACGAAAATAAATTACTTCTATTTCATTTTTGTTTATCTATTCTAGTAAATTACTTCTATTTCATTGTTATTTCATATAAAGTCAATACCAAATTTGTAATTCCCCGTTCTTAAAGTATTTAATTATGAGTCTCTGAGATTTTAGAGGAAGGGTAATTTTGGTCCTTTTACGGGAAATGAGTTTTATCTGAGAAGGTTTGGACTGGTGTGTGGGTTGATAAAAGCATAAGGCTTCTCGCCACCCTCGTGTGAATGTAAAGTTTATCGGGAGTGGGTTTAGAGTAGAGGAGTTACGGCATTTCGAAGATAATATCGATTATAGCTCTTAATGAAAAAGTGGAAAAAAGGGTTCCATGCATGCCAAGCATGCGTGCTTGGGTTTGGCTGGGTACACCCAGCGTAATCTGGACGTACGCCCAGCGTAGTGAGGGAAAGAAACGCGGGGGGCAAGGTTGAGTACGCCCAGCGTATTAGAGGTACGCCCAACGTACTCTCAGAATCCCCAAAACCCTAATTTTAAGGCAACCACTATATAAAGAACATAAAGGTTTCCTCCTCAGCCTCCATAAACACTCTCTTAACCTCAGGAACCCTAGATAGATGTCCCAACTCCATTGTTGGGTGTGTTTGGTCTTGGAAAGCTTATTTTCGCAAAAGAGAAGCTAGAAGAAGAAAGGAGAAGTTGTCAAAGAAGGAGAGGAACGATTGGAGCTTATAGATCTGGAAAGACATCATCCTTTGGAGCCTATTTGAGGTATAAAGCTTCTTGCTTGACATTTATATTGTGTACATCTATGTGTTGGGAAGCTTTGACACCATTCTTGTCCCAAAAGCCCTCATCTTGTTGCATGTTTCGAGCTGGTCAAGTTTATCTGTCCTTTCAGACCTTAGGAGAGGTCTTGAGTGAAAAAAATGAGGTCCCAAGGGTTGAGGTTGTTCCATGTGTGAGATAAGTAGGTCTTAATGGATTAAGACCTTAGATTAAGAGCTTTATTGACGTCCCAGGTGATAAAGTTTGAGACATTATGAATCCTAATCATATTTGGCCTAAGGATTTGAAGTTTGGGCTTAAGAGCTTAAGCCATTAAGTAGTTGCATGAATTTGTTGAGCCACAAGGTTACGCCCCGCGTAACCTAGGAGTACGCCCTGCATAACCTAGGAGTACGCCCCGCGTAGCGAGTCAGTGCCCCGATCCCCTTTGTGAATCAATGTTGTACGCCCAGCGTACTCCCCCTGTTGGATTTTCAATTTGGGCCTTAGAGTTTGGGCTGTTATTGGGCTGTTGGATTTATGGGCTGTGACTGGACATTATGGAAGGAGTATTGTGAACTTATTAATTATTTTGGACCATGGGCCTAGACCCATTTGTTGAGGTGGGCCCAATTTAGTAAATTGGGCCAATATTGAGCCTTGCTTCGGTCTTTTAGTTTTTGGGCCTTTAGCGGACTTGAGAGCTTATCTAGTGATGAGCCTTTCATATCTGATTGTGGGCATAGTTATGGACGAGATTGATTTAAGGGTAAATTGGTCCATTTACCCTTGGAAGGATATTATATTTGGCCTAATGATTATTTTTGCTATGTTGGCTAGTTCGGGATTTTCGGTGAGTCGGTAATTCGGGAATCTGCTTCTTCAGTTCAGAGTTTCGACAATCGCAAGGTGAGTTATCCTCACTATATCAACAGGGTCTAAGGCACCAAGGCCGACCCTTTATCGGATTGTAATCCGGGTATCGTTGTTATGTTGTTGCTTTGTTATGTTTGCATCCGGGTATTAGGATGGTATATGCTAGTGACCTGTTAGGTCGGTATCCTGTTTAGAGTATGTTATGATACGTGATTTGCTAGATCGGTTTGATTGAATGTGAATTGTTATATGATTGTATGTTTATGTGCACATGGTTGTTTGACTGGGGTTGGGTTGAGGCGGGACCTGCTTTGTGCTGTAGGCCAACATACCCAGGGCGGACCGGTTATTCCGAAGGCCCAGCGAGCGGTCCGGATAGGTTGTAGGCCCCACGAGGGCGGACCAGACGTGCTGATGCTCGGAAAGTGGACCAGGCCGACTGAAGGCCCGATGCGGGCGGACCAGTCATACTGTAGACTCAAAGAGTGGACCAGATGGGTTGAAGGCCCGGTGGCGGCTGACCAACCACACTGCAAACTCAAAGGACATGACTAGACTCGGAGGGTGGACCAGGTGGAATAAAGGCCCGATACGGCGGACCAGTCACACAGTAGACCCGATATGCATGGTTGTTCTATTATTTGTTATGATATAACAGGTTATGTGTGTATGGTATATGTGGTTAGTATTTTAGGGGTATCTCACTAAGCTTTCGGGCTTACAGTTGTGGTTTAATGTTTTTTCAGGTTCTTCAAGAGATCGTGGCAAGGCAAAGGCGTGATCATACCGCTCCTCGTGTTTATGTTTTATGTTATGGTTATGGAAATACTCTGATAATAAATGTATTGAAAACCTTTTTGTAATAACATTATGAAAATGGGTTGTTTTTAAAAAGTTAAAATTTGTTGAAATTTTTGGTCGTTA